CTCATCGTACAACACCAGCACAAAGGCGCCGCCCATGCCTCTGAGCACATTGGACAGGGCCCCCTTGAAGAAAGCCTTGCCACCTTCATCACGTGCGATCTTACGCCAGCAGTCCATGGTGCCGCTGTACATGATGTCGGCTGAGGAAGGCAAGAAAAGAGGAGTTAAAGAATGCGAGTAGAAGTGAACCTATGGCATCTAAAAATATGGTTCCATGTTGTAGTGTAGTTACAGCAGTAAAACTGTAAAGACTTCCGTTAATTAAATTAAAATAAACTCACCTCCTTTGCGACCGGACTGCATCATCATACGTCTACGGACAGTGTCGAAGGGATATGAGGTCAGACCAGCAACGGCTGTCACACTCTGTGCAATCATCCAGCTTACCAATATGCTGGTGTTCTTAGAGTCTGGAAGCATACCTGTAAACACGTAAAAGGGGAAAAATTACAGATCTAGAAGACGAACCACTAAGGAGGTCGTACTGCATGCGTTTGCCACTGTAAAATCTACGCACCTTTAGCTGTGTCATAGATTCCAAAGTATGCAGCCCTGTAGATGATGATGCCCTGCACGGACACATTGAAGCCCTGGTACAGACCCCTCAGGCCGTCAGACTTGAAGATCTTTTTCAGGCAGTCTCCTAGACCACTGAACTCTCTTCCGGCTCCAGCCTTTCCCACATCAGCAGCCAGACGGGTACGGGCGAAGTCGAGGGGGTACACGAAGCAGAGAGACGTGGCTCCGGCGGCACCACCGGAGGCCAGGTTACCGGCGAAGTACCTCCAGAACTGGGTGCGCTTGTCGACGCCATCAAGGAAGACCTTCTTGTACTTATCCTTGAAGGCGAAGTTGAGGGCCTGGGTGGGGAAATATCTGATGACATTGGCAAGGTTACCTCTCCAGAAGGAAATGAACCCCTGCTCCTTGGGGATACGGACAATGCAGTCCATGATACCCTTGTACTGCATATCCGCGGTGATCTGCTTACTGGCATGCTGGACCTGGAATAATGAAAAAGAAAGAAGTGTTGAGTTTAAAAACAGGAACGCTAATCAACTGCTGAGCTCGAGTAAATCACAAGGTCTCATTGTTGTGACCTTGGTGCACGTTAATCTATAAAATAAAAGCTGCATAGTCGAAAATAAAGTGCACTTTGACAGCAGTGTTGACTAGAAATCGAATGATTATGGCAGCTATATGTTGCATCTTCGTTCATTATTTGATTTCAGATAAAACAGCTTCTATAATTATCATCATTATCATAGTATAGTAAGACAACTGATAAATACAGGAAGGTTTAGAAATAATGTAGTGCACGTTTCACAGAAAAAGGATGTAAAATGTGATGATCCGGCTGTCAATCACTCCGCCGGGCCTCAGTGCAGCCATCGCGATTAACGCTAGCTAACATTAACGCTACATAAGACACCGGAACTATTTCATAGACAATTAAAGCTCAAATATAACCGTAATGTTATTTTGTTTAACTACACTATGAACTAGTATGTATGTGAATGAAACAGAGGTGTTGTCGTCTATTAGTACATTTTGTCCTAACATCAGTACGTTTGTCCTTTGTTAGCTAACGTTCCGCCGGCTAAGGTTAACGTAGGAAGCTAACGTTAGCAGCCAGGCTCGTGTAGGTCATTTCCCGTCCAATGGTGACCTTACATCCTTAAACCCGTCACTCTTAAGAGTTTCATTCATTTTCACATCACCACATGCTAGTGAGCTATATGTTAAACTATTGAGCCTTGTGGATACGTGATGACAACCGGCAGAGACAAGTACTTAACTTTGTCTCAAAGGCAGTTAGCAAGAACGCACACAAGCTAGCCGGCTAACGTTTGGAAGTCTAACAGAAGACGTTTTTTTTACCTGAAGGAGAAGCTTCACTCTCTCGATGGGAGCAACGGCTGTTTTGGAGATGGCGGCGGAGATGCCACCAGCCAAGAAGTCCTTGGCGAACGATATAGCCGTCTCATTCATGTTTCGATGTTCTTGATGTGCCTTTCAGATAAACCAGTAAACGAGATATACCCCACTGCCCTCTACAAACGATGGCCTACTCCGACGAAATGGCCGATTGTATGAACTCGTTGCGGATTTATATAACACAATAGCTCGCGATACAACACGAGAACTGTGATTTCGGGCTGTTGGCCAATCCGCCGACGTCACACAGCTCTCCGCCAATCAAACCGCAGAGATAGCGATGCCGTCATAATGCGTATTTTGCTGCGCACTAGGCGAGTAAATTATGGTGTTACCAAATACAGGTGAAGAAACTAATTTTAGACGTAAACCCCGATAAGTTACTGTACGGACCGTGTTCTTTTTTGGCTTCTTGCTCACTGTCACGGCCACAGACCAATGAAGACACCGCTAGGGTGTTACATACATGTGCTCTTACAGGAAAGTCACAGGGTCATAGGGCGTTCAAGGACTTCACAGAGGCCTTTAGGTCACTACTAACAACATATTTCAACTACTATTAAATAACTCTCAGCTAACGTGACGACCGTGAGAAATAATACATAATATTTTATGGTTGCTTTTTTAGTGAGGTGCATTCCTCTGAATTATCATGTCTTACATAACCTAGTCTGTTAATAGTGTAGCAGGTCTTATACATCCATGAGGTTTCTTATACATCCATGAGGTTTCGGCTTCTGGACGTCGTTCCAATAGGCTAACACTTGAGTCTATTTTGTACTCTTTGCAAAATCCTCATGTTATTCGATGTCAGATGTCATGTTCTTGAGAAACATGGTGTCACGTGTCTGCACCAATTTTTTTTTTTTTTACAGTCTATGGTCTGTAGCTCCACTGCTGGCCCCACAAGACCTCACCTGTTGAAAAACATTGTGTTTTTTTGACGAAAGCTAAGTCCTGTTACTGTGTATCATAGATAAAGATACAGATACAAGTGCTTCATAATTGCTAAAATTCCAAAATATAAAATCTCATTCATCCAGCTCAGGCTTGAACAAAGTTGTCCACTAGAGGGCGGCAAGAGACTTAATGTCGATCTCTTTATTTAGTCGGTGAACATAACTCCATAGACTTACTGCATGCAGAGGGACATCCATATCCATATATCTATCTAAAAAAAACAGTGTATGTGCCATTCAATATATTTTTATGATCAAACAGGCCAATGAAGCTTGATATATTGGTGACTTCCTGTTGCACTCAAGGTCTCAATGTTGTGACAATATGTTCTAGGTGAGGATATATTCCTGTGAGTTAAAACTACTTAACTACTTGTGTTTTATTTCAAGCCTCATCAAGCAACAGAACTGAAAGAAAAAGATGTTCCTCATTAAATGCCAGCTGTTGAATAGTTGTCTCCGGGGCCTTGTTTATAACCTAATGTACGTTTAGTGTTTAGTGTGACACAGATAAGACTGTTCTGGTTAGAACACTGGCTGTACAGTAAACACCTTTAACTCACAGTAATAAGCCAACGCTCACATTATTAAAGTCTTTGTAAGTTACAGGAGGAACCTGCATGTCAAGGCTGCATCTGCACATGGTTGACCACGTGGAGGAGCTGCTGTGATGCCATGCAGTCAAACCTCTGAGAAATCCTGCCATAGACCAACTACTGAAGCTCGAGTAGGAGACCAAGGTAACAACCTACTTATCTGAAAACACACACTTGTGAAATATGATTCACTCACTCATTCTGCAATTGTTTGTTTTATTAAAGGCAGACTGCTTTGTCTTGGTGCAGTGAAAGGTCTCCTTGTGCTGCCATGGTTGCTGTTGATAGCAATGCATTTTTACAAGCTTTGCTTTGCTGTCCTTGTTTGGTTGAATGTGTCTTTTAATGACTGTCCACTTGTATTTCTAACTGCCACTTGAGCATCCAGTTGAACAGGAGGTGCAAATGAATCAGTGAGGACTTTTTGCACATTGCTTTTGTTTTCTTTTAGTGAGAGTGCAGTATTCTTTACTGGGAATTGGGTAATTCTAAAGAAATTACGGTGAAAAAAAAAGTGTTGAGTGATTTTTATTTAAAAAAATAGATCCGATCTGCATTTAATTTGATTAAGGGATTTAGTAGCACCGTTAGCTGCTAGCTGCCGGCTCAGCCCTCTCCATGTTGCTCAATGTCCATGAGGCAATAGATCACCTCCAAAATCTTCAGAGGGTGCTAGTGAATATGACAGCTGCTATGTGATCAAACTCACAAATGTCTTTAGTTTTGTGATTACATCCTTGGAGAGAATAATAAAGAGGGTTGAAGCCTTTATCGTACAGTATCAATTCGTATGCACACAAACTGCACAATCAATCAGTTTGTTTGGATGAAACAAAAACAAAAGTATACGTCACTATCACAGGTGTGTTCCCGAGCTTTCAGTGTTTCTCACTGCATGTCGTCCCCTACGGACCGACCCTTTCCACACACAAGTCAGCTGCAGCAGTGGAACAAGTAAAGATTTCACGGTCCCAGTTCTGCTGTAAGCTGATATGAATGGAGAAGGCAGTTGGGCTGCAGACTGGTCTCAAAGCAGAAGGGGGAAACATATTTCATTTGACATGTAAGCTCACCTCTAAAGGCACCTGTGGGGGGGGAAACAAACCAGTACTTACAACCAGAAACACAGTCCAAATCAGAAGACAGTGTTGCTCCTCTTCAGCTCAAAATGTAGCTCTAACGCATTCATTCAATGGATATCTGTTTTAAGCACACAGTCAGCCTTTTTTAAACCATTAAAACACAATTAAAAAAACATTTCGGTTAATTAGCTTAGTGAGTGATACTTCTGTTGCTATGCTACAAATATGTAACCCCCCTCAACACAATAGAGTTTTCTAAGCAGTGTAGTAGACCCCTTGTGTTGCCCATCATGCTGATGCCTAAACTAATGTCTGAAACAGACCAGCTGTTCTCCCACAGGAAACATTCTCACACCCCATGGGCATATTCAGTCCTTACAGGGACCAATCACATTGCGCCTTTAACAGAGAGATGCGCCATGCAGTCCAAGCGCACTGATCTCAACTCTGACTGGACAACTGTGGAGCTGCGATGCAACCACGCGCAAGTCCAAATGCGACACACAACTCGCGCTTGGAGTCGGACTTGAATTGATGCAGATGAACTTTTTTGGATGAATGTTTTGGAAATCTGCGTCACCTAGAGATCGATAACCTTGTAATTGGGATTCCGGAAAAAAATAAATGGGACAACAAAAATCGCGAGAACTTGAATCGGTCCAGTGTGCGTGCACGGTTCAGTTTAGCCAACTTTGTGCAGTAGCCCGTCCGATCTGCCACAGTCCGCGCGGGCGCAGCAGCAGTAGTAGCAGCAGCAGAGCAGGCGGCTGGATGTGGCAGGAGACGGGTCACTGAGCTGCAGCGAGACGGTTGCGAGTTTCCTCAGTCCCCAACTCTTCAATGTCACCAGATAGGATGATGATCATTGGACTTCTGCTCAGTGTCTTCTCTTGTGGTAAGTAGCTACATCTCTAATTTCTACCAGCTGGTATCTCTGTTTTACATGTAGAATATATTCAGCCACCTTTGAGATCGTATCATCCACAGTCTGTTAAGTCTGTAGTGTGGATTCCCTTTGTCTTGTCTTCCAGTATCCAGAACTTGAACACTAACGCACACTT